TGATGATCGACTTCCACTGTGCACTTGAGGCCCCGCACCCACTGGTCGAAACAGTGCATGGCCAATGGTACCGCCAACGCTTCTTTTTCTCTTTGGCTGTAGCGCTTCTCTCCGCGTCACTTAGTGATCGTGATCCAAAGTCTGCCGCGCGTTCTTCTCCCGATGGATGTTCATACAGAAAGAAGAGTTCCCTATTCAAATGAGCTTGCGTCACATGGTACTATGGTATTGCGACTGAAATGATACTTCGCAACGGCAGATCGTGTCCGGCGGGAGAATCGCCTTGTTCCGATTGAAATACGGTCTATTGAAGTGGGCTATGCACTCCCTTGTATTCTGCTCACCTAGCAAGGCGTGGATAGTGGGCATTTGCCTTTGCAAGGTTGGGAAAGAAGCGCCTAATGCAATCAGCCATACCTGGAGGGGTTTAAACGTGGCGACCTTTCTTGGGTGGTTTTATAGTTGCGTAGGGCTTCGAGTTGCTGGGGCTTGGCGAGATACCATTGGCGTCGACGACCATAGCCACAATTAAGAACTCCACCCTGTCTTGACCAAGAAAACTTCTGTTCAGGTTTACCCAGCTCTTTTCGGACGTTCGAAAATAGCCACAAGTAGTTTGTTGCGCCTAATTAATGATCATTTCCAAAAGGCAGGGTGTCGTCTATTATAGGTTGACACGTCAGGTGCCCTTTAGAATTTGAGCTAAGGTTGACACTTAGAATGCTAGCATTTCTCGTTTAAAGTACTCAGGTCTTGATGTCACGCCTAAAGGTAGACGACAGTAGCAGTAGCGTTCGAATGACATGATTATTGTGTGTACCTTAGCATTCTCGGAATGATTCACATGGTGAAATCCTGTTGTCACTTCTAGTTTTTAGAACAGCCTTTGCGTCTCTACACAGAAAGTTGTCCGAGAACCCTTGCAACCGTTGGAGGCATACTTCCTTATGGAGCTTCAAGTTCACGCATATTTGGATGCCGCCTGATGCTTTCGGACCGGGACACCACAGCGTTGACTTCGTATGTGCTTGATGAAACCTTCTTTTTAATCTGGTTCAAATTTCCTTCACTTCGTCGCACAGAGGAGTTGGAGTGCTACGAGGTACACTGAGAGCAATGGCTGACATTTCGCTTGAGAATACGTTTGAGATAAAAAAGGTACTTTTGCCCTACGGTACCAAGTCCATTGAAGATGTCCTTGCTAAGAGTGGCATCGCTGCAGGGTCAGTTGGCTTGTCAGGTCGCCGTGCGGCGTCGATGAATTTCACGACTACCAAGGTGAGTATAGCAGGGTAGCCTAGCAGAAGCGTAGACGTGCGAAGACATGACATAGACTGACTGTACGCAGGTGCGACTTTGCAGTCTTACGTAGCTTTGAATTGGCCAGCCATATTTTAGGATAACTTTGGACCTGTGAGAGGACCATCTGGTTCGTCGATTTGAGACGGTACGCCCGAGAAAGTGCTCGCGATGACCATAACTTCCACTCTGAGTCAACCTTAAGTTTTAGTAGGATGCTGTGGACGTGCTCCCAAATGACTTCGCGTTTGCTTCACACTGTACTGACAGCATGCGTCTCTATATGCAACCGTCATTCAGTCGAGTTTTCCAGTGCGACTGCAGCGCCAGAATAGATAACCTAGCGGATGAAAAAAGTCACCCTTGAGACAGCGTCGGTGAAAATGGAACGCGACGCGCGCATCTAGCGCCCTGCATCTGTCGGCGGATCGTGGCCGGCATACATGGTGCTTAGAGATTCTCACAATCACAACCAAGAGGTAATCTGCTGACAGTGAGCTGCTTGATGCCGGGTAATAACCAAGGAGGATTAAAGAAAAATTGCTAGAGTGAAGCTACTGCATTGCCTTGCCAGCAGAAGTGAAGCCAGCTTTTCCACTGCCAAGATGGCGAAAACATGCTCTTTTCTGATAGTGCCCACTTAAAAATCAACTGGCTTTGATATGTTATGTAAATGCTGCGTTTGTTCTAAGTCAAAAGATAGTTGTTGCCGACGAAATAACATACAGAAACGAGTATAGATGACTGAATCTTCAAAGAACTTTGCCTCCCATTAGACGCTCACTAAGGAAAACTAGTGACTGCAAGACGCCACTTGGAACACTATGTGATCCGAAAAAGTTCCCACATTAGACTCGTTGGGCGTTCGAGGGTAACGCCCCGTATTTAATCGCTGAACGGTGAATGCTTTATCATGCCCCTAGTAAGATGGCCGCCACAGCCGCCATCTTGTCAGAGGAACGGCTTCACTTCTGCGCAACCATTTTCCCCTCCAGCAATTTTTTAAATCCTCCTTGGGATTAATGGCATACGTGAGCTTCGAACTTGGCTCGGATTTGTAATACCTCAACGACGCGTCCGGCATCGTGTTAAAATGATTGATTTCTCATTAAAAGGGCACGTAAGTAAGCTTTTTATTTTGTCATTACACAGAAACGTGTTGTATTTAAATCTCAAACCTTCTACGTTGATGTACAATGTTACGAAGCGTAGGAAGTAACCAACGACCACTAAACTTGGTAGGCAGACGACAAAGTGAGCGTGTTTTTTCCGCCACGTTTATTTCGTCTGTTCATTTCCTTCATCATTTGATTGGGCCGTAAAGATGAGTGGAGTTTTATTTTAGAATGTAACACGCGTGGATGAGATCCATTTATAAATGTTTAGTTTTAAGAAGCTTTATTTACGCAGTCGTACTCACTTTGAGCCGATGCCTCGCTCAACACCAGCTACACAAGTCTCGCAGACTCGGCGTTCCAACATCGCTCCTTAAGAAATTCGCATAGACGGTGGCGCACACTTCCCTCTAGGTATTTGTGAGAAACTCTAAAACATGGGGGTCCGTGCACGTGTCTATTTTCTGTGTGCTCCTAACGGCAAATGTCGAAGACATTGCGACGAGGCAGTGTGAGCACTGCAGCTCCCTATGGACAGTGGGCGTGCCTCTGGCATGTGACTGTCGGTGGAGCAAACACTTCTTGGCTAAGCAAACCGCTATCGAAGGGTCCTTTCTTTTTGTAGAAATGGAAAACGCTTTCCTGCAGAACAAAAATTTCCGTTGCTAAGCTTCTCGTCCCCCATAGAACCCACTATTCCATGCGTAGCGTTGGCGATGAAGGTCTTTCCATATATGATAATGCTCACCTACGTGACTGTCTTTTCGCAGCATCAAATTCGCTGCTGCACGCGACTGGGCCCAGATGACTAAGTTGCGCGTTTCCTGTTTTTCCTCTTTCGGCGTCCTTATGCAGTCATGCATTCAGGGAGCGCTTTCTCCAGCGTCAATATGCCAAGTGCCAGGCAAAGATGTGACAGCAAGACAGCCTGACAGGCAAGACAGGCAAGAAGTGACGGCAAGTGACAGGCAAAGACAGCCTACGAGAACCGTAGAATCTGAGAGTGGTACATGCTATATCCCTAAACAGAGTATTGTACTCCACACCGTATCTCAACCTCATATGACCGAAACACAAGCATGAACTTTATAATCCGACAAACCACCAAGGCAGCGCTCCGCCTTCCAAAAACCACCAGTAACGAACGCCTCGCAGAGTTATGTCTGCATGCCACTATACACGAATGGGCCGAAGCGCACATGCAGGCGCAATACGTCAGACTAGCGAGCATCAATACCGGTACACACATACTTTCGAAGCTCCAAATTTGCATCCCCGCTAATAATTATTCCCTAAAGTCACAACCAAAGGAAATTCGCGAAAAATCTTGTATTTGACCGCTCCCCCGTAAGATGCCCCCGACCACCATCGCGAACGACAAAGAGCTAAATACTCTCCATAAAGTGTAGGGCAGGTAACAAAGTTGAAATCTGGGTAGATGCTGCATGCGATCAGCCCGGAGCCACTGTGCGGTGGTCTACACCCCGAACACTGCTCCATTAATAAAGGACTACCTCCAGGGACAACAGCGAAGAAGCGGAAGAGGTCGAAATTGCGCTAGCGCTCGGCCGTTTCAATGCTGCGTGCATCCTACTGGTTCGAAAACTGCATTGCTAAATTATGCTAGGGGCAGAGATCACCCTACTACTTACCACATGCTCGACCAGAATCTCCATTCCTCCCGCAGCGTTGAGCTCATCTGGGTGCCCGTGCATTCAGGAAACTCTGGGCAATGAGGCCGCCGATTTTTTAGCCCGAGGGTCAAGAAACCGGGCACAGGCGGACCTTTTGGGGGTTTCTTTAAGAAGCGTGAGTGCCCTTTGCTGAGCTCACTGGAACGCTCGTGCGGAAAGGCAGATACCCGCCCCCTCACCCTTCCCTTACCAACAGGGGAAAGACACAATAGGCGCCATCTTCAAACGCGGACCTTACCGACTCCCTCCCTCCTCTCCCACTACCGACCCATCTCACCTTCCTGCCCTATGTGCAATGCACCGAGGGGAAACCATATTCACGTTCTCCTGGCCTTCAGTCTTCTCCTCCTCACGTTGGGCCGGTGCCACTCCGGACCTGGGAGGGATGGGAAACCTCGCTACGCTCCTGGTACCCGGCAAGGCAGAAAATCGCCACCAGCCTTGCTTCCAGTGTCATGAACTTAATAAACATGAATGTTCTAGAATGGTGAGGTCGCGCGGGGACCCAGGGGGCCAGGTAGGTCTTAAATTCTGCTGCAATAAAGTTTTTTCGACTCGACTCGACTCCGGCATCCATTCAGAAGTGCGGGAGAGTTGTTCCGATAGTGTGCGTCCAACAAGCGGGGCAAGAAATCAGTCTCGAACGAGCCGCTGAGCCATAGTTGCATCTTTTGATCAGTTTTGCCACACAGAATAAAAAACGTCAACGTTTCGTCTGCTTGCTGCGTTCACTTATGAAAACGCTAACTTTTATGAACTTTGTTTACCGGGTGAAAGAAATACAAGGTGAACCTGCTTTTCACAGCGCTGTACGACAGAGCCTTCTTCGGCAGTCAGCTGAGAGGTCTAGTGTGTGTCGAGCTTGAACTCGTGCAATAAAAAGCCTTCGTACCCGAGCCTCGTTGGTAACTCGTGTGCATTCCTGTAGCGTTGGCCACGACCTCCTCTAGAGGAGGTCGTGGCGTAGGCGTAGTCCTCGAACAGCCCAACCCTGCTGGACCACAAACTTGGGTCGTTGAAGTCGAAGCTCTGTGACTGCTGGAGTCCAGGCATTTTAGCAAACGCAGGGTCAGGCTTGAACTCCATTACAGAGAGCGATGGTGGCCACTTAAGACACTACGTACGATGCAACATGCAGCAAGGCGCTTGGCGCGTCTACACAATTGACTCGGAGCCATGTTGACCGAACGAATCTCCCCACAGCTTTATTCGGCTATAACACATATATAGAACAAATCAAGGGGCTTCAAGAACGCATGCTGCACAGCGCCTTCTGCGTTTCAATAATTAACAGGAGAGTAGGCAGGAGCATCAGTACGACTGCAATACCTTTACCGATGCATTGCACTAAAATGAGAGAGGTGCACTTGAGAACGTTCCTGAACGACAGCTACAGTTACTGATCTTGTGTCTCGTGCATTCGCCAGCATATGAATCGCTGCTGACACGCTCTTACCTCGATATTCGTCGCAGTGTTGCCCGGTTGTGGACGACTGACCGAGAGAAACAGTGAGAGGTCGTTGTTGTTGTTGTTGTTTCCCTTTGCAATGGCTCGTACCCAAGAAGGGGATTGGCCGATTATAAGGTGAATTTGCCCTAAACTTTCAGCATTGCGTCATTCCTACATTTTTTTGTAACTTAATTTGATTTGAAATACCGATATCAAGTTTGCAGAAAAAAAAGAAAAATAGTGAGACAGCAATTTAGCAAGAAAATCGTTTAGTCGCAGTGATGTATTCTTGAACGGCGAATAAAACATCCCTGTGGCTGAAACCCAGTGTAGAGGCTCCAAATGAAAGAAGATCAGGTTGTGATAGTTGCAAGCCCAGTCTTTGAAGAGGTGGTGCTAGTATGCTTTGCCTCAATAAATCGAAACGGCGACGATGTAATAAAAATGACTGATCGTTTCCTCTTGATTACAGTAAATGCACATAGGGGAATTCAATATGCCTGATCTATGCAAGTAAAAATTGAGGGAGGTAACGTGGCAACGAAATTTCGTGATGACAACTTCCATCATCCTTGATTTAGTCAGTTCACTGCGCCAGGGATAACAAGTGTTTGTACTCTGGAGAAGCCGTCAATGCAGGGTCAGATAAATTTTGCCTGATTTTAAGTGTGCGAAATCGCGCCACCGTAATATATACTGTATGAGGGAAAATAGGAATAATTGGTGTCGAAAGGGATGCCTTCGCAAGAGAATCAGCTATTTCGTTTAACAACAAACCTTTGTGCCCTGGTGTCCAGATTAAATGAATACTTTGGAGATGACAGGGGATCAACGATTTAAAAAGTTTCACTATAGGTGAGTGACCAGATGCGGACAGAGAAGAGCACATGATAATGAATCAGTTATGACTGCTACAACTGGAATGGAAATATTTACCTTTCGCAAAGCTAACATTATTGCCATGAAAGCCAGCCAGAAAGACAGGAAGAAAGTCCGGTAAGCGAAGTGAAAATGACCAATCAAGTACGGGGCAGTAACGCCTGATGTTTTTCACGTGATTGAGATGCGTCCGTTGCTATAATGACATTTGTTGGCAGACTACTTAAATGGTCCTGCAATAAACCATTTAAAATGCCTGTAGGTAATAGCTTTGCGTGAGTTGGGAAGATATCATGGTAAACAAGTTCTGGAGAATTTGTTGCTCAGGTAAAGGAATCAGATCATGACGTGTACATTTAGGGGCTCAAGTAACGATTGAACAAATACTATTTGTGGTTTGGTAAATCTGGGCCAATGCACGGAGAAGAAAAGGTCAGGATTGGAAATAAAAATAATTTGTTCAGGGTTAAACGGTGCTTCATATAGTCGTAAAAAGGTCTGCACAGTAAGAATGTTAAAGCGACATAATAAGGTTGGTATTCGTGCTTCAAGGTATAACACTGCATTTGCAGTATACTTTGGAAGTCCTAAGCAGAGCCGTAAAGCCTCTCTTTCCAACAGAACGAGCGGCCGAAGTTTGTAGGCTGGCGCACCAGAAAAAAGAATGCAGCCAAACTCCAACACAGGTCGGACATACATTTTATAATAATCAAAAGTGCCTTTCTTCTCATACCTGATCTACAATTGCTCAACCTCCGCAATACGCCCATCGCGCGTACTGCTTTGTCGCGATGTATTCAATGTGAGGGCGCCAATTTAGATGCTCATTATACATAACTCCAAGATATTTCAATGATTGTACTTGTGGGATATCTTGAAGCTTGTAATTATAGATATGTGCACGGGATCTTTAATTGGAAAAACGAGAATAGCACATTTACCGATATTCAGGTTCAACATCAATCCATCCAACCAATGTTCTATTTTATTAAGATATGTTTGCAAGATAGCGTAGAGACAGTGGAAGTCATGTGCCATAGCAAAGAAGCAATGTCATCGGCATAAACATAGGTTTTCACTTCTGGATGAACGGGGATGGTACTAAGCAATATGTTGAATAAAACCGGGGAGAGTACTGACCCCTGAGGTACACCTCGGGTTTGCTTGTGCTTACAGGAAGAGAATCCGCCTTGATAACAATAGAATTCTCTTCTACTTAAAAATTCCGTCACCCATGCTACTATATAAGGTGGAAGTCCATGACTCCATAACTGATTAGCCAAGACAGAATACTCTACACTATCGTATGCTTTACATATGTCTAACGTTACTAAAGGCGCAAAGTGCTTTTGTGACGGGCAATATGAATACGACTTTCCAGATCTACATGTGGATGCCATATGGAATATCCAGATCTGAAGCCAATTTGGAAAGAACTCAACAGTTGTTTCTCGTTAATAAACCTAATTATACGACCATGAAGTACCCTTTCAATAAGTTTTACTACATTAGATGTTAAGGCTATCGGTCGTATGTTGTCTAAATTATAGCCTGCCCCCTGTTTCTTAAGCAATGGTATAATTTTCGCAATCTTCCATTCAGAAGGGATCCATGCTCTTCTAAGGGAATAATTGACGAGACCTAACAGATCATTCGGATATTCCCTGTGAAGTATTTTTAGCATTGTATTTGTTATTCCATCGGGGCCTGGTGCTGCATTTGGCAATCTTTCCATAGCCTGATTTAATTCGGAAGCCGATATTTCTGTGTAGTCATAGACGGCTGTTGTGTAAGCCGAATTAGGAAGATGCGTTGAGAACCTGTTTTCTAATTCTTTAGCCAACTGATTCAATGATTCCTGTAGTTCCTGTGAGGTGTAAACTACTGAGTCAACGTTTCCTGGTATAGGGGTCTTCTTCCTACCACGAAGGAAGTTGAATAAAGCACGTTTGTTATTTGATTTAGACAGGTACTCGAAATGTTCTTGGTCATATTGCTCTTTTGCTCGCGATACAGTGCGTTTAAATGTTGCCGCAATGAACTGATAATCCTTCCAATTTTTTGGACTCTGATTACATATAAGTCTTTTCCATGCAGCTTTTCTTCTTCTATAATCTCCTTAAAAAGTGCACTGGCATTTTCGCTGACCTTTTTGGGTTTTGTGTTTGGGCAAGGAGATTTTAATGGAGATCCAGTGCGCTTCTGACGCCTGAAATCTTGGCATACGTCCATTTCATTCTGATCCTCCACGTGGGTCGACGTAGAAGGTACGGACAAAATTGGGGTTTTCTCCTCGCGGGATTGTCGCTGTGGGGCTAAATTCGGTATAACTTCCACTGCACAAGGTGCCGACTTGGCCATCGGTACTGCTATTGCAGAAGCCAGCTGTGTCATCTGTGAGCAAAACACTTGAGAGATGCACTCACTCACGCTCGTAACTATGTGTTCCAGCGCTTTCGACATCGCCTTTTCTACTGCAGCCTCAATAAGATTAAGAATCTTCGTCTCACTCAGTTGTTCGTGCCTCGACGCGACTCCGGCATATCCAAAGGATCTATCCTTCACAACTGTTATTGCTTCTCGCCGCGAGCAACGACGTCTGTCCATGATTTCTAGAAGTTGCGTTTCATTAGACCTTGCGGTGCAGTTCAGATAATCGGCCGCGTGATTTCCTGCACAGAGGCAGCACTTTTCGGTTTCGGCGATGCACTCCTTCGATGGGTGGGTATCGCCACAGATGCGGCAACGTGAATTTGATTTACAGCCCCCTGCACTGTGACCAAAACGCCAACAGTTTTGACATTGGAGAGGACGAGAAGCGAGACGTTCGACTCTGAAAATGAGCGGCCATATTTTCAACTCGGATGGACAGGAAGTGCCGGCAAAGGTAGCAATAACCGACTCAGTGGGGACTTTCTCACCGTTAACTAATCGGTTGCATCGGTACACAGCTATGACCCCAGCATCAGACAGCTTTTCCAGAGTCTCAGCGGGCGTTAGTGTAGAGTCGACTCCTCGTACAATTCCCTTAGTGCACGCTAAATGAGGCGGGATAAATGCACTTACCGGGACCGAAGCAAAAGTCTTGCATTTTAGGATGTCAGAAACGCACGAAGGATCTGACGATCTGCATGCCAAACCACCTCTTCCGAACTGACGAACATCACTTATCATCTGAAAGTGCGGCGTCATGGCCTGCAACCCCACCTGGATCGCCTTCGGGTTGTTGAGCCTAATAAATCCACCACTCGAGGGCACCAGCGCAACAGGGATGCTTCCAACACCACTGCGGAAAAAATATTCCAATGGCAATTCATCATTAGGCAAGGAGGCTGACCAAGGGCTATGCCCTTGGCCAGGAGATGAATTAGACATTAGCACTAATTCGATTGCTTAAAGAAGTAATATGCAACGTCAGCTAGTTTCAACAGGTCAAATTCACCCAAACTCAGCCAAACCACCGTCCGAAAGAGTCCGAAGGGACGATCCCGGTTCAGAACGAAGACGCTTCTGGAACGCTCTGGAACAATGGTAAAGCGATCAATCGCTGTTGCAAGCTTCGTGAGAGGTCGATGAAGATTGGCTCGCGGACTTTGTTTTCTTTTGTTGCGAAAAATATATTGGCTCATACCCACAAGGGGGATTGGCCACACTGTACCTTACAACGAAAATTTAAATACAATAATTGTTAAAAAAGAGAGAAGTCAGATAAAAACCAAATCAATAATCAACATTAAAATAGAAAAGGCAAAATGAT